TATTCCTGCATTGAGCAGGGGGTTGGACTTGATGGCCTTGTAGGCCCCTTCCAACTTCACTTTTCTATGATTCCATGATCTCCCTCAGATGCAGTGCAGTCTTATTTAGGACATTTTAAAGGGCTTTCCCCCTTCAAACAGTGAAGTAGCACTGATGCCCAACCATTCATTATGCCTGGATTGCTACCTTGCCCTTGAAACATGGGCACAGCTTTCCAATGAAGGCTAAATCATGACTGGAACACACTTATTGATTAACCGGGTAAGTGTAGATACCCTTTTCTGAAGCTAAGCTGGCATTCTGGCATCATTCACAAAACAATTATTTGGAGCTTTCTTTTTTCCTTTTCTTCTTTTTTGCCATTGCTGCTTTGTTCACTTGTTGAAGTTTCTGCCCTTTGCCTTCATTACTCTTCTTTCATCTGTGTTTAGTGTGGCATAGAATGACCACCTATGAATACATTGTGCAACGGCGTCCCCCACAGGAGACAAAGGATCCTGACAAGCAGCCAGAATCTTGCCCTCCCCAAGTGAGGCCGATTCAGGTAAGAGTCCCATTCAGAGTTCCTCCTTAGGTACGTCGTCGTTTAGTCGTTTAGTCGTGTCCGACTCTTTGTGACCCCATGAACCAGAGCACGCCAGGCCTGCCTATCTTCCACTGCCTCCCGGAGTTGCGTCAAATTCATGTTGGTTGCTTCGCAGACACTGTCCAGCCCTTCTCCTCTTGCCTTCACACTTTCCCAACATCAGGGTCTTTTCAAGGGAGTCTTTTCTTCTCATGAGATGGCCAAAGTACTGGAGCCTCAGCTTCAGGATCTGTCCTTCCAGTGAGCACTCAGGGTTGATTTCCTTTAGAACTGATAGGTTTGTTCTCCTTAGGTACAGTCTCTACTATATTACTATGATTTTTTAAAAATTAACCATTGTTGTTTGGTGCAATATGGCTATATCACACACCCTACATTTTTCACGAATTCTTTCTGCATATATCAACATCATCTGCCATTTATTGGAAAACTGTTTGATTTTGAGAACCCGATAGTCACCTTTCATTTGTATGAAGTCACCTTTCTAGCTCCTGTGGTCAGAGGAGAAAAATAGATTCAGAGCTGAATCAGTACTGCGTTGCGACACTGTCCAGCCCTTCTCCTCTTGCCTTCACACTTTCCCAACATCAGGGTCTTTTCAAGGGAGTCTTTTCTTCTCATGAGATGGCCAAAGTACTGGAGCCTCAGCTTCAGGATCTGTCCTTCCAGTGAGCACTCAGGGTTGATTTCCTTTAGAACTGATAGGTTTGTTCTCCTTAGGTACAGTCTCTACTATATTACTATGATTTTTTAAAAATTAACCATTGTTATTTGGTGCAATATGGCTATATCACACACCCTACATTTTTCACGAATTCTTTCTGCGTATATTGTCTGCCATTTATTGGAAAACTGTTTGATTTGGGGAATCCAATAGTCACCTTTCATTTTTACGAAGTCACGTTTCAAGCTCCTGTGATCAGAGGAGAAAAATAGATTCAGAGCTGAATCAGTACTGCGTTGCATGGCATTTCCCAATGGCAAGAGCTGCTTACTCCTCTTTACTCAGCCATATGAAAGGAGCTCAAATTTGTGGGTCATAATGGTAAGGGATGTGGTCTTTCAGAGGCTTTTGATGATGATGGTTTTCAAAGTTGAGTGGAGGTACAGATCTCCTTTTGTTTCCTTCTTTTCCCTCCAGCCCTGACTAGGTCTACCAGGTTTCTTTTGGTGCCTGACTACAGTGGATTGATTGGAACCAAGAATAGGCAAAGCGTGGTCATACAGATGTTGCTTCATTTCTAAAACTTTTTACCATCAACTGTACTGACTAGGGCTGATGGGAGTTGCAGGTGAAAAGCATCTGTGGAGGACATCAGTTTGCACCCACTTGATTTAAAGCGTGATTTAGGTTTAAATCAAGTTTCTCATTCGTGCACCTACATGTATTTCATAAACAATTCATCAGATTTTACAACTAAATTATAATACAGTAATTAAGAAAAATTACACTTATTTTTACACTGTTTCGTTTCATACAGTCAACTAAGTCATGCATTTCTGTGTTGTATTATGTGCAGTTTCCACATTTTCTTCTTTTTTTTCAACCTATGGGAGAATGCCTTTAAAATATATGGTGCTGTTGCGACTGGCAGCCACTGAGCTTTTGAGATTAACAAATTGTATACTGGATAATTTAGTTTTTCCTCTTTGTCCCAGTGGATTCCACATTTCTGCTATGTCATGTGTGTGGATGCACACAGGGAGCAACTTCCTTAGGTTCAAGGACTAATTCCCTCCCCCTGCCCCCAAAACCCTCCAGAGGCTGTACAGATTACCAAAATTGCAAAACAATTTAAATATGAATGTGTCTTTTGTCTTTTTTTAATTTTATTTTTTAAAATTCCCAAAACAAATACAAGAATACAAAACACTTACTAATACAATCTAAAACATAGTGCACCCCAATACCCACAGGACCCTTTGGAGCAATACAGTACTTTTATTACGAACCTCCTTTCCAAAATTGCATTGATTGTTGCTTAGAGGCTTTCCCTTTCCTTTGACTAATACAAATTCAATAAATCTACCCCAAATAGCATAAAAATATTTAAACTTATTTCCCCTCTTTTCATCTTAAGTTCAGTAGTCAATTTAGAATTTAACGCAATGTCCCATACTTCGTTATATCAGTCTTCTAATTCAATATCATTTTTATCTTTCCAGAATCTAGCTATTAATATTCTAGCAGTTGTCATAAAATTAGAAATCAATTCCTTTGAGCAATAATCGTTATGTCTTATCAAAAATTGACAGCAAAGCAATTTTAGAATGAAGTTTGATATCTTTTCCAAATATATCACATATTTCCTTAAAAATCAATTTCCAAAATTTCTGAATCAATTTACATTCCCACCACATATGATAATATGTGCCAATTTCTTCATCACATTTCCAACAGGCCTTAGAATAGTCTGAATTTATTATGTTCAATTTCACCGGAG